CGAAATAATCGTCTGGATGGACACGTCAGGCTCCGATTATCTTGCTTAGCATGCCACGTGGGTTCCTCATTGGATCCTATAAATACCCCCCCGGGCCACGTCAAAAAGGTAATTGAAACTTACCCTAAGCTCCTTTTATCTCCGCTCTAGAGGTAACCCCGATTATTGCTGACTTAAGCATCGGAGTGTCTACCCCGAGGTCCACCTCGAGGCTTTGCAGGTCATTCCGGAGTGCAGTTGCGGACTGAAGGAGGACTTCTGGTTCGTTGCAATTACAGTAAGCATCTGCAATGTAGCATGAGCTCCACACCTATGCATAAAGAGTTGAAAATGCAAATTTCCAGTGACTCCCTCAAACTAGGAATTGTTTGTTCTAACATGCAAGGGGTCCGATGGCTATGGGATTTGGTGAGGAAAAGGGTTAGATAGCAATGAGGGAGAGGAGATGGGGTTTCAGTTTTGTGAGGGGAAGTGGAGAAAACGAGCTTCTGCACTTTTCCCTTATATTTTAATTGTTGTGACATATTAACCCTTCTATGTAGAAGTAGTGTAAATTGACCCTCCTACTTACCCAAACTAGCAAATCAACCCTTTTGTTAATGATGACGTAACTCTTCCAAGACTATCATTATTGCCCCCATTAAACTCCGCGTATGTGACACTAACTAGGCATGATGTGGCAACTTATTTGACAACTTGGCACCTTTTTTCTCCTTCCTTAGCTGACATGGACCCCATTTTAAGATCAACTTTAAAAATAAAACTTAAACTCAACATGGGATGATATTAGTTGGGTAGTTATAAAATTAAAGTTAATTTTTATTTTTTTCATAATGATTATGAATAATGATAAAAAATACAATAAATATATTTAATATATGCACCTAAAATACATGTTAGGGAAATTTTTAATTTTAAAATAAGTTTGTTTAAACTATATCTTTATACGTTAAGGATGTAATAATTATACTTTTTGTAATTAAGTTGTATAGAAAATATAAATGTTGATTTTGGTATAATTAATTGATCAATTAAAAGTTTATATGTGACTATGGTGATAAAATAAATGTCAATTTTTATAATTGTGTGTAAATTAATTGTAGAAATATGCATTTATTAGATGATTAACATGTGCACTTAAAGTTTAAAGCATGTGTTAGAGAAACCATTTTAAAATTCAATAATTTTAACTTTATAATTAATTATTAAGTTTTTCTAACTTGTGTCTTAAGTTAAGCTTACCTTTTTATTATAATTATGTATAGAAAAATATAAAAGTTAACATTAATTTTAATATCACTACCACATGAATAAATTTAATTAGATAATTAATAGATTAAAAGTTAATTTTAATTTTTCAATATATATTTATTAAAAAATATATTTATTACACTCTTAACATGTACTCTTATGGTATAGATTAAAAGATCTTAATTATATGCTTTGAAAAAAAATTAAATATAGTATATGCTAAGATTTATTGTTTTTTTTTTTAATTTTTTATTCAAATAATATTGTGCACACAACGGATGCCATGTTGTAAAAAAAGAAAAATGATTTAAGAATAACTTTTTTTTACCATCTTTTTGTATAACTTTACGTACCATTTAAATAATTAATTTTTTGTATTTATTTGAGACTCATAATATTGAATGCATCTATTTATTTAATGACATGTGAAAGTTGTATAAAAAAATAATATAAAAAAATTATCCTTATATTACCACTCAATAAAAAAGTTGTCATGTCACGCCCAATCAGTCCCAGGTAAGTGAAGTTTAACTTGCAATAGCAATGGTCATAGAAAAGTGACATCATCATTAATAAAAAGGAGATTTAGGGTGCGTTTGGGGTTACAATTGAGAGCTTTTTTGGGTAATTATACATTACTTTTAGATATATATGTGTTTAGTAATTTTTTTTCAAATTGTTTTTTCTAAAAGTGTATAAAACTATAATAAATTTACAATAATTTTATATATAAAGTTAAGAGCATCATTTTAGAACTTTCTAGTAGTGACTTTTATAGAGAACACTTAATTGTAATATAATTACAAAATTACCTATTAAAACTTAATTTTTTTATAATTTAATTACATCATAATTTATATTATTTTAATAATGATAACAATCTAAAAAACTTAAATTATTAAAAAATATTAAATATTAGTTATTTTATTAATTGTATATTTTAAAATATCTTTTAATTTTTAATTAATAATTAATAAAATCTACTATATTTAATCCATAATACTTTTAAGAAATAAATGACTAAATATCAAAATAACTTTTAATCACAATTATAGCACAACATAATTCAACACAGTATAGTTCAACCAATGTTTTTGTACCCGACCCAGTGGCTGACCAGTTTTGGCCATCGGGTATGGTTCAACTGGTTGAACCGATCACCCGACCGATTCAACCGGTTGACTAAAAGACTTTTTTTTTTTTTACATTCTTATTAGATTTTACATTTAGATATTACTTTCACTTCATTCATGCCAGCGGGGAAACGACATCGGCGGCGCTAACGTGGTTTTTCAGGTTGATTTCTCAACACCCAAAAGTTGATTTGGAAATTCTAAAAGAAATCTGGGAGAAATCTGATTCGTCAATTTTCGAAGAAGTGAAAGACATGATTTATACCCACGCTTGTCTCCACGAGACCATGCGGCTGTACCCATCGGTCCCCGTTGACGGCAAAGTCGCCATGTGTAAGGACAGGTCCGAGGTGCCAAGCCTCGGACTGCTACAGTAATTCCTTTATGACCAAAGTGAGGAATAAATCCAAAGCTTCCCGCTCAATTAGCTGCATGACAATGACAATAGGCACGCCCGCATCTGATTCCTTATGATGAGTGGCACAGCAAGTATGGTGGACGCTCGTGCATCTAAATACTTCTCAAATTCCCGGTCCCGAAATAATCATCTGGATGGACACGTCAAGCTCCGATTATCTTGCTTGGCATGACACGTGGGTTCCTCATTGGATCCTATAAATACCCCCCCGGGCCACGTCAGAAAGGTAATTGAAACCAACCCTAAGCTCTTTTTATCTCCGCCTTAAAGGTAGCCTCGATTATTGCTGACTTAAGCATCGGAGTGTCTACCCCGAGTTCCACCTCGGGGCTTTGTAGGTCACTTCGGAGTACAAGCGCAGACTGAAGAAGGACTTCTGGTTTGGTGCAATTACATTGGCGCCGTCTGTGGGAATCGAACTGAAAGCTTTCTAGTTGCTCTTCCATCATGGTTCACACTCGATCAGTCCGAGCTGGTAATTCATCTCTGCCTCATGGGCAAGGTCAACCACACAACAACCTTCCACCTCCGATCCCACCTCAAATCCTACCTCAGCTTCCACCTCAGGTCCCAACCATATTCCCTCCTGCTGATCATGCAGAAAGAGGAGATGAAAACCAACCTCATGCCTCAGCTCACAATTCTACTTCCACTGCCAACCAAGACGTGGTGACAGCTCAGCTTGCTGCCATGCAGCAACAGTTTGGTGTTTTTCAGTTAGTACTGGCTCAGCTTCTAGCTAGAAATAATCCTGGTGATCCCCTCATTAATCTACTAAACCCTGCTCAACAACCTCCAGCTCCACAATAGAATCCCCAACCGATTCCACCTGCTCCCGCTATTAGTGAATCTCAGGGTCAATCCCACATAGCACCTGCTCAGCAACCCATCCCAGATGATGTCACCCGACGCCTCGATAGCTTGGAAAAGCTAGTAGCTGAACACCGAGGTGCTCCACCCCCACACCATGCTGCTGATTCTATACCTCACCCTCTGAATACTAACATTACACTGGAACCCTATCCCATTGGCTTCAAAATACCACAACTGGAGACTTATGACGGGACAAAGGATCCCGATGATCACCTGCATGCTTTCTACTCTTGCATGCAAGCTCAGAACGCCTCTGACGCGTTAATGTGTAAAATCTTCCCCTCTACTCTGCGAGGTAATGCTCGAACTTGGTATTACAGTCTACCCCCGAGGTCAATTAGTTCTTACACAGAGATGGCATCGGCATTTGCCACTAAGTTTTCCAGTAAAAGGTTGATTAGGAAAACTACCACTGAATTGATGCGAGTTAAACAGAGGGACGGAGAGTCTCTAAAGAACTACATGAGCAGGTTCAATGATGCGGTGTTGGAGGTTAGTTCCTTCGACCAAGCTGTGGGTATTGCAGCTGTAATTTCTGGTCTCAAACATGACAGGTTCAGAGACAGTTTGATCAAACATGCTGCCACCACCTTCAACGAGGTGAATGATAGGTCTCTCAAATTTATAACTGCTGAGGAATACGCCCTGGCACAAAACCCACCTTCCTCTAAGAACCAGAACCCAGAATGGAGAGATGACAATCCGAGCCGGAAAAGGATGAGAATGGCGCAGAACCGAGGTCCGATGTTGACCTCCCCAACAAGATTCGGAAGGACGAACTCAACTCCCCCGCAACAACCTGCAGGTAAACCTCCAGTTAATTGGACTCCCTTTAATCTGCCGAGGTCACAAATTTTCATGCAGATCAAAAATAAGATGGACTTGAAGCGTCCTGGCCCAATGCAAACTGCTGCTGCTAGTCGAGACCATACCAGATATTGTGATTTCCACCAGGATCACGGCCATACTACAGAGCAGTGTAACAGCTTAAAGTCCGAACTAGAAAGTTTAGCTCAGAAGGGAATGCTGAATGAGTATGTTCAGAGAGCTGAGCAACCGAGGTTTGTCAGAGAGCAGAGGCCGCAGCCTCAAGGAGTCCGCAATCCCCCAAATAGACAAGGTGTGGGATATCAGCAA